TATTTGTTTTTGCTTTGTTTATTGATCTTGACACTGTTTTTAAGATGGACTTTATTAGCAATGATTGAAAACTCCCTTCATTATTTCCACCTCTTCCTAAGAAGAAAAATCGCACTCCCCTACCCAGAGTTCCATGCGGACATAGTACCGTATATCGCCGTTTATAAAGCGACCCCATGTATATGTTTGAGTAAAACTTAAAAGATTAAGCTTCAGTCAACTTCAGTGTACACATGATCTGATCGTTTGATACATGAATCTAAACTGTTTTTGCCAGGGCTGCAGTAAAACAATTCCAATCGGACATTTTGTTCCCAACTCCTTGAGTCCTACAGTGGGTAGGGTCGGGTAATAGGGGGTCGGGAGTAAAGCTGGACTTGTCCCAGCCCTATTAGCAACACAGTTCATCATAGTTGACTCGGAACCCCCGGCCACCCCTTGTACAAGTGATGTGGGTTCGAATCCTGGTTCACCTCGATTATGTTTCTAGGTTTGTCAGCAACAAACCCGTGCTCGTGGGTTTCACCGAAGTGGTAAATGTCTGAGACCTGCATCACTTCGGGCTTTCTTCCCACATTAAGCTGACACGCAGTGATATAACTGGAACACTATTAACACTCACTCACTCACTCACTCACTCACTCACTCACTCACTCACCCACCCACCCACCCACTCACCCACTCACTCACTCACTCACTCACTCACTCACTCACTCACTCACTCACTCACTCATCCACCCACCCACCATATTATCACATCCCTGTTTATGAGATTTATTCCCACTGGAGAACAATAGCATGACGTCACTGGAGGTTTATAAACCTGAGGAGGGAGGGCCAGGTGGACAGTTTATTCAGTAAAAGTTTTCCAAACCTGGGAGGGAAATATCTTGAGTGAGGTGATTGTCAATATAGTGACGCCTCTTCCTCTAGACTCTGAATGCGGAGAACGGGATGGTGGTGGTGACTCGGTGGTACGGTGGCATCCATCTCGGTCCGGACATATTTAAGCACATCAATAACCTCTCCAGGGAAATCCTGCTGGAGCACGGCTACGTCAAGGAGAAGGTGAGGGGAGTAGGGGTTGGGGAGGAGTTGTATCTATTTGATACCTATACCCTGGGCTCGCCATTAGTGCCCTAGGATGTGCAGCAATGGCATTGCACATGTATCAACTAACTGAAGGGTGGCGCACACTGTCACAAACCATGTGCACAGTAAACCTTATTTACCTCAGTGAATCTTTACTTCATCACCTGTCCTGGTGTCTCAGTGAATCTTTACTTCATCACCTGCCTGTAGGCTCAGTGAATCTTTACTTCATCACCTGTCCTGGTGTCTCAGTGAATCTTTACTTCATCACCTGCCCTGGTGTTTCGGTGAACCTTTACTTCATCACCTGCCTGTAGGCTCAGTGAATCTTTACTTCATCACCTGTCCCGGTGTCTCAGTGAATCTTTACCTCATCACCTGCCCTGGCGTCTCAGGGAACCTTTACTTCATCACCTGCCCCAGTGTCTCAGGGAATCTTTACTTCATCACCTGTCCTGGTCACTCAGTGAATCTTTACCTCATCACCTGAAGAGTGACGCACACTGTCACAAACCATGTGCACAATAAACCTTTACTTCATCACCTGCCCTGGTGGCTCAGTGAACCTTTACTTCATCACCTGTCTGTAGGCTCAGTAAACCTTTACTTCATCACCTGCCCCAGCGGCTCAGTGAATCTTTACTTCATCACCTGCCCTTGTGTCTCAGTGAATCTTTACCTCATCACCTGCCCTGGTGTTTCAGGGAACCTTTACTTCATCACCTGCCCCAGTGTCTCAGTGAATCTTTACTTCATCACCTGCCCCAGTGGCTCAGTGAATCTTTACCTCATCACCTGACCTGGTCTCTCAGTGAATCTTTACTTCCTCACCTGTCCTGATCACTCAGTGAATCTTTACTTCATCACCTGCCCTGGTGTCTCAGTGAACCTTTACTTCATCACCTGTCTGTAGGCTCAGTAAACCTTTACTTCATCACCTGCCCCAGTGTCTCAGTGAATCTTTACTTCATCACCTGTCCTGGTCACTCAGTGAATCTTTACCTCATCACCTGAAGGGGGACGCACACTGTCACAAACCATGTGCACAATAAACCTTAACTTCATCACCTGCCTGTAGGCTCAGTGGATCTTTACTTCATCACCTGCCCTGGTGTCTCAGTGAATCTTTACCTCATCACCTGCCCTGGTGTCTCAGGGAACCTTTACTTCATCACCTGCCCCAGTGTCTCAGTGAATCTTTACTTCATCACCTGTCCTGGTCACTCAGTGAATCTTTACCTCATCACCTGCCCTGGCGTGTCAGTGAATCTTTACCGCATCACCTGCCCTGGTGTGTCAGTGAATCTTTACCTCATCACCATCCCTGGTGGATCATTTGGAACACACTGGTTGACAATACTAAACAAGATATATGGTTGCCAGTTCAGATCACATCATGGAATTGTCATGTAAAAAAATCCTGACTTTTTAACCAGTCAAAAAAATCAAAATTAGATGCAAATTAAAAGATAAATTTCAAAAGCAAAAACTCAAAGCAGGTCTTACTTACACTGGTGATGTCTCCCACACCTTGCAGGAGGGCTGGGACGAGTCCAGATTTACCACTCGGGGACCCACCCCCTATTACCCGACCCTTCCCAGGTACCCGCTGTAGGTCTCAAGATTGGGAAAAGTTTGACTGTAGCTCTAATAAAATGTGTTTAGATATATTGTATGTACAGACAGTTTCACATCGTTATCAAATAATGTTTCTTAGTAGGTTTTTCCACATTTTAACAGTTTTACATTCACGAAGCATTATATTTGCCCATAGATTGTATTCAATTGCCATAGTACTTTCTGTTGGCAAACCGCCAAGTAAAAAGGACAGAAAGGTATCGTCATCATCGTTCCAGATACTAGAAATCTAGTAAATCAATAATAGACTCAACAAGAATATTTCTTTGTTGTTGAGTCTTTTTACAATACATAAACACATGTTTGATAATATCAAAAGCAAATGTGCCGCATAAACATTCATCAGATTGTATACTGTAGGTACTAAGGCATATGCTAAATCATAGAAGTGTTCCGGCCTTTCAATTGTTAGTAACCAAAGTCTGTGTGCCTTAGGTGATTGTATAAGAGAGTATCGTTTTAGGTTTTCTCTTGAATGAATCTCTGCATGAATTATGTTATGGTCACATACGCTTATTTGTTCTTTAACTCGACTCGCCCATGCATGTTTTGAGGGGAAATGAGAATAAATGGTATATGTGTTTATGTCATTATTGAGTTCATACTTGTTTACAAGTGAAAGCATGTGGTATACGGGTGACATTTTACATTTATCATCTTTTTCTTTAATTGTATCGGGTTCATACTGAACAAGTCTGTGCTGAAATAGTCTTTCAATTACCCGACCTTCCCCAGGTACCCGCTGTAACTCTCAAAATTGGGAAAGGTTGACTGTAGCTCTGGTAAAATGTATTTAGATACACGTATGAAACGATATACACTGAAGTTGATTGAAGTTTTATCTTTATTGAAACATATAAAAGTTAGAAGGAATGGGTGTAGTCAGGAAGAACTGCGAAGATGTGTGACTTGTAGTTTAAACATAGAGTTGTAGATATTTTTGTCATTAAACAATATATCCCGGACAAACAACAGGTCCGGGGAGTCCTGTGGGTACCCGGGTCGTCCTCACTACCCACCTGATCCGAGTACCCGAGTTACCCGTCCCAGCCCTACTTTGCAGCAGAGTAAACTTGAACACAGCTTGTCCCCACACAACCTGCGTCATGTGCTTCATATGAATCTATTCCTTGGGTTCCAGGAGGACAAGAAACGACCCCGGACGAGCAAGAAAAGGTGACGCTCCGTCTGTCTCGGTGAAGATCCTAAATATTGTACAGGATTTTTTTAAGACTATTTGTGCAAGAGCTGTCCATATTTAAGGCTTCATTCCCCACTGAAGCATGTGATATTTTATGAAACATTTGTAAATAATAAATGGATGTGTCAAAAGCATGCTCATCATTTCCAAACATGAACCTTATTGTTTCAGTGAGAACTTCATTATCACAATGTGTCCTTTGGTTCTGCTGTATTCAGTCATTCTCATGTGTTTACACTCAATTCCCATCGATTCTCGTGGTAAATATACGTCTTCTTCAATTCATAGAGGGCATGTATATTGTTATACTAACATTCAGATATGGAAATGCTGTGAGAACTTTTGACACATCCCCCTAGTGAAGGATCTGAACATCAAACATGTTTTATTTGATAGGATAGGACAAAGTTTGAAACATAAGATTGTAATATTAATATCAATAAGTGAATATCTTTTTTAATATAATATTAAGTAGGATGGATGATGTAGTTCTTTTAAGGTATTAGTATTCTTTTAAAATGTATATACATTGAACCTTGTGTATCGGAATATTTGTTTTAATTTATCTTTTAATACATATGAGCTGGTTTCACCTGGGCAACAAGAAACACTATTTACAGTTTCATGTCTCGTATCTACATGTTCATGGTTTTGTTGGTTGTCCACAATTTGAAATTATTTCCTATATACTTGTGATAATGTACTTAACAGTTAAACTATCATCCTTCTTGTGAATGTGTGATACTAGATGAAGGTGGCCACTCTTCAACCTTCAAGATTCCATCCTTCATTGACGCAAGTTTTACAGCTTGACTATTGTTGACAAAGTGTGATAGAGCTGGCCTGTTTAGTCAACTGTGTCATCTCTTACTTGACCTTTAGGCAACTTGTTCTGGTGTCCCCAACTGTGATATTGCTGGAATATTGCTAAACGCGGCATAAAACCATACTCACTCACTCTAGGCAACTTGTTCTGGTGTCCCCTGCCGTGATATTGCTCGAATATTGCTAAAAGCGGCATAAAACCATGCTCACTCACTCTAGGCAACTTGGCCATGTTACCATGGTTACAGGTATTATTTATTGTTATTGCTAAGTGTGATCCTCCTAAATTCTCCCAAATCTTCGTTGCTAACATTTTAAACTGTTGACTACATATCCAGGTGAGCTACAGATCTGGTGAGCTAGAGACATGGCAATCTTTTATCTAAATCGCCACTGTGCCTTTATCTCCTGTACAGAGTATGTGCCTAGGAGTCTTTGTGGATGGGCATGTCACTACTGAAACGAAGCTGTAGCGGCAATTGGATCTGCGGTGTTTATCATCACAGAATAGAGATATCATAAGTCGGATAATATTGGATGCTTAACGTAACCGTGTGATGTGATACACAACTTTGATGTTGACATATTTCTGTCTCAGTGTTGCACATATACAAACACAGTTTCAGATCTGTAGGAAGGGTCCAGAGGAGAATAACTGCTCCATATTTAACAGCTGACATTGTGTTTTTGTTTCCCTCGAGAACATCTCTAGCAAGGAGTACCGTGGTATGCTGTAGTATATGTAGTCGTGCTTCAAGACCATGCTGTTGCTATGTAGTTCTGAATTAACATACTTCCTCTCAGTGAGAGTTGAGACTTAAGTCCTGCCTCGTGTAAATGCCGAGACTTAAACAGGTCAATGAAAATAAGCACTGGGGCTGTAAATAGTGCCAGATCTCCAATAACCATCAGGCATGTCTGATTCAACTGACCTTTGCCTGGTATGAAGAAAAGAAGATAATAAATCTGTAACATCGTAACCCTGAAATAATAACACCAGGACTCTACCTCCAGGTCTCCTTGTTATGAAGTAACATACTTCCTCTCGGTGAGAGTTGGGACTTAAGGGATAAATGCCCGGACTTAAACAGTTCAATGAAGAAAAGCACTGGGGCTGTAAATAGTGTCACATCTCCAATAACCAACTGTCTTTTCCCTGGTATGAAGAAAAGAAGATAATAAATCTGTAACATCGTAACCCTGAAATAATAACACCAGGACTCTACCTCCAGGTCTAGGAGCTAGCTGAAATAAAACAATGTTCCTGGTCACACAGAGAAAATGTGGTATTTGTGTTGTTATACACCTGCAGTCACATTATTGACGTGATGTTTCCTCCTTTTGTCCTCAGCTTTGTCTCTTTTATATATTGTATAAATACATGTCATCTTATTGTACAGTTTTAGGACTGATTTGTTAAACGTTTTACATCTGCAGTTTATCATTGTTGTAATTCTAACACAGGATTTTAAGTTGAAATTCACATCATTATAAATGTTATAGTGAGAATAGATTACCCCTTGTACGTAGTGAGCTGATTGTACATGGTGATATAGAAATAACTCTGACTATTGACATGTCCCTTGTACAACAAAAAATCGGGGGGAATAATGATAATAATAAATCCAACAAATACACCAGAGCTCTCAGACACTGTGGCTAGGATCCCTAATAAGTTGCAAAAGTTGTCGTTGTGTTTGCTTGCAGAATTAACATGCTTGGTGTGACAAACAGTGACTGTCTGCAGCAAGAATGGTGGCTAACTCTTAAAAACTTAAAAATAAATTATATTTTTTATAACAGTTTTATTTCTTCTTCTTGTTGAGTTTGAGGTGAAATAACTTTTGAATTCAGTTCATTTATTTGATAATTTACCTTGACTTATAAGAAATTATACCTATAAGAAATGCTTTCGGAATAGATTTCTCATGAATAGGGAAAGGGTTTCAAGCTTTTGATTCACTGATTTACTTAACTTCAACAAAGTCCGTTTCTAAACTTACCAGTAATCCAAAACAGAACTTGCAGAACTTTAAAAATATATGCACAAATCAAATTTCAGGTCTGTCGACATTTATTTATAACATGTACACATAAAATCAATAAATGTATGACCGTCCACCACACGTCTTGGTAATCCTGATTACTTCACTATGTTGATGTATTAGAGATTAACATGGACAGGTCTCGTATCTGAGCTGTTTTTAAAACACATTTGATGATTATTGTACTGTGAGACATGCATGTGACTCAGATATCCTGAATAGTACATCGTCATCCTTCAGGCAACTTGCGGATAATCAGTAAAATATTGTTTGGGCTTTTATGAATTCCTTCCTAAAGACGACAGGAACCTGAGAGAGTTCTATACACATATATATGTCACAAACACACGTTGTCAGTGTTAACATGTGAACACCTTAATAACTCCTTCCCTCCTGAGACAAACATACACGTGGCCATGTCCGTCTACACACACACCCCAGGGGTTGATGATACCGTCCTGCTGTGTCAGTATGCTTCTGACAAACTGTCCTGACTCCGTCAGATGGATGACTCTGTTTAGAGAGTAGTCTGTCACCAGGATGCCACCTGTGCTGGTACTTGTGATACCCAGGGGAGACTTCAGTGCTGTGTCTCCTGTCGGGCTGTAGGTGAACACCACCTCTCCCTCGAGGGTCAGACACACGACACACTCGGTTCCCTGGTCAGACACCAGGATGTTTCCTGTCCTCGTGGTACAGAGGTACTTGGGATATTGTAAGATCTTGCTACCATTTTGGAGTGGACTGATTGACCTCAGCACGTTTCCCGCCATATCCAGGATATCAACACAGGTAGGAGGCCGGGAACTAGCTGCTAGTGTTGATGGTGTCAGGGACGTTATGCCCGAGTACTCTTTGCTGGTTGTGATGGTTGACAGCAGCACCAGGTCAGGGTTGACTTCTACTGTTACAATCTGTTTGATGTTCAGGACAGTGACGGCCACCTGGTTGTGTGTCAACTTTGTCAGACCCCATGGTCGACCACCCAGACTGAGTTTACTGTGACGTGTCTGGTTATTCCTGGTGTAGAAGGACTTCACATTGTTGTTGTTCCAGTCTGTGACTACAACTGTATCTGTGTCATTCACCACCATCACTGTCACGTCACGCGGGTATGATACGTTACTGTCTCCTGGTACTCTGACGCTAATGGTGTCGTGTAACACAGGAGTAGCCTTCAGGTCCAGCACATCCTCATACAGGACATCTATCTCTCCCAGCTGTAGATCTTCCAGAGATTTACTCAGCTTGTCCGTGTCTTGTCTGAATGTGACCTTGGATATTCTTCCTCTCTCCTTCACATCTGCGTCTCCGACAGCCTCCACATCACCCGTCTCACATCCCTGATACATCTCATACACATCCATGTCACACTCAGATTGTAGAGCCTGGTCTATCAGCTCCGCCTGTTGTTGGTACATCTGTACTGACATCTCACCTGACCTAATGTCTGCTTTCAGTTGCCCGATGTGTTTATATGAAATGTCTTCCATCTGATCTAACAGCTTCCTCTCCTTCTCCTTGGCCTGATTGTTAACTTTCTGGCATTCGGACTGAATGTTCGATTTCATCAGTGAATAATGATCTCTCCCTAATTTCTTTTTCAAATCCTTTTCATTCACACGTAGTTTCATCTCATCTTCCTTCTTTGATAATGCCTTCTTTATTTTTCTCAGCTGTGTTTTCATTGTCGTTATCTGTGACGTGATCGTGACAACGGCGTCACATTTCCTGTGGTAAATGATGCAACATTTCTGACACGCTGCCTTCTTGCAATCCGTACAGAGAAATTCTAGCGACTCCTGTCTGTGCTCTCTGCACATGACCTTGACCTTTTGTCTTCCCTTAGCCTTTACCTCTCCAGACAGGTCAGTGACGTCATGCTGACGAAATGATGGGATGCGGTTGTGAGCTCCAGTACATTTGTCACAGAGTGCCTCATCACAGACCGAGCACCATACAACAGCCGGAGTTGTCTCCCCATCTTCTTGGCAGTAGGTACAGTAGGTCGTGTCTGTAAACACATTACATTTGCATAATAACATTTCACCTACTTAAACTATTTATATGTGTTCATATCTCCTTATATCTTTCTACCAACGGAAAAACTACCAGCAACGGGAGATGGACCAATTAAATAAAACTTTCTTACTTAAGCATTTGGTATCCATACGGGCAGGGGAATTGAACTGCAGGGGTGGGAGGGACAGGGGAATGGGACTGCAGGGGTGGGGTGGGGGTGGGGGGGGGGGGGGGGGGGGGGCAGGGGAATATGACTACAGGGGTGGGAGGGACAGGGCGGGACAAGGGAATGGGGCTGCAGGGGTGGGCGGGACAGGACGGGACGGGGAATGGGACTGCAGGGGTGGGAGGGACAGGGGAATGGGACTGCAGGGGTTGGAGGGACAGGAGAATGGGACTGCAGGGGTGGGAGGGACAGGGCGGGACAGTGGAATTGGACTGCAGGGGTGGGAGGGACAGGGGAATGGGACTGCGGGGCCGGGTAAGACAGGGCGAGACAGGGACATGGGACTGCAGGGGTGGGAGGGACAGGGCGGGACATTGGAATGGGACTGCAGGGGTGGGAGGGACAGGAGTATGGGACTGCAGGGATGGGAGGGACAGGGCGGGACAGTGGAATTGGACTGCAGGGGTGGGAGGGACAGGGGAATGGGACTGCGGGGCCGGGTAAGACAGGGCGAGACAGGGGAATCGGACTGCAGGGATGGGAGGGACAGGGGAACGGGACTGCAGGGCTGGGAGGGACAGGGTGGGACAGTGCAATGGGACTGCAGGGGTGGGAGGGACAGGGGAACGGGACTGCAGGGGTGGGAGGGACAGGGCGGGACAGTGGAATGGGACTGGAGGGGTGGGAGGGACAGGGGAATGGGACTGCAGGGGTTGGAGGGACAGGGGAATTGGACTGCAGGGGTGGGAGGGACAGGGCGGGACAGTGCAATGGGACTGCAGGGGTTGGAGGGACAGGGGAATGGAATGCAGGGGTGGGAGGGACAGGGCGGGGCAGGGGAATGGGACTGCAGGAGTGGTTAGGGAAAGGGGAATGGGACTACAGGGGTGGGAGGGACAGGGCGGGGCAGGGGAATGGGACTGCAGGGGTAGGAGGGATAGGGCGGGGCAGGGGATGGGACTGCAGGAGTGGTAAGGGAAAGGGGAATGGGACTGCAGGGGTGGGAGGGACTGGGGAAAGGGACTGCAGGGGTGAGAGGGACAGGGGAATGGGTCTGCAGGGGTGGGAGGGACAGGGCGGGGCAGGGGAATGGGACTGCAGGAGTGGTTAGGGAATGGGGAATGGGACTGCAGGGGTGGGAGGGACTGGGGAAAGGGACTGCAGGGGTGGGCGGGACAGGGCGGGACAATTGAACGGGACTGGAGTGAATTGGTAGGTCAGAGCGGGACAGGGGAATGGCACTGCAGGGGTGGTTGGGACAGGGTGGGACAGAGGAATGAAACTGTAAGGCTTGTTGGGACAGGTGTATGGGACTGCAGGTGTGGGTGGGACAGGGAAATGGGACTGTGGGGCAGAGGAAGAGAAATCCTGTCCTAAATAATCCAATTCTATTTCTCAGTTCTAATATCTGCAGTGATTTTATTGATATTCATGCACAGTGGAAAGACGACAACCATGTGCCTGCATTGGGTAAATCTCAACATTATCAAAGGCATAAACCACCAAAGGCCAGTGCTGATCATAGCGAGTAAGATATGTTTGATATGAATGGAATGCCTGAAATACTTCAAAAGCGCAAGTCTTTATACACCACTTTGCAAACGTCTTTGTTCATGAGTCCTATGATAGATGAAACGATTGTGCAAAAACTCAAATATGTCAATAGTTCAGCGAGTTTGGAGCTTCATGCACATAGTGTCGATGTAGCTCTGGTGTTAAGGGAAAATTAAAATTGTCTGTCGTTAGAAGTTAATCCGTCTGGGAGAAAATCAGATTTATCTACCTTTAGATCCCGGACCAAACGAGTCCAAGAGTCCCTGGATGATAAAGATTGGCTTGACGTCATCCGCCCACTCCTCCACTGGTCTCTCAGGGGCAGACACTTTCGTCATCTTGTTGCAGAATGGACAGAGGAGGGACTTGGCACTGATGGCTTCTGGTCTGGTCTTGGTGTAGTTGACGACACATTTCCGACAGAAGGTGTGATTACACACAAGCGTACAGGGATTATCAAACACCTCTGTGCATATTGTACAGGTCAGGAAATGTTCCTTAAGCTTCTGAGAGGTTGCCATCTGAAACATGTTAAGGTTCAGGATTTCAACAGTACCCTGGTTTTATGTAACATTCTTTGGTCTCCCGTATAATCATGTGCCAAATATCCCAGTTGAGTTACTTTCAAGCTGTATCAAAGTATCAGTATATTATGGACCCCTAGAAAGTATATTGTTGCCCTTACAAAAACAAACAAAATTTGTCAAAATTAACCAAAACACGACAATGCCATAATGCCACAACACGACATTTTGTTAATTTGTAGCATTTCCCAGGTTGATATATGTCGCATTGTCGGTCCATACAAAATGTGTGAAAAAAAGTTGAAATGAGTGATAGTGCAACAATGCCACATATTAATAATGATAGCTATATAAACAGTGGCTCAACCAAATATACGGCCAGGCGCTTAATCGAGGCTATACGGTAGGTCAAAAGCAAATAAAATATTCAGGGCGAGTCTGAAATTCGAACTCACGATCATAGGTTTCTGGCACGCCAAGAATATGCAACTCTGCACAGCGAATTCGTAGATTTGAGCGAGTGAACGAGTTCTGTTTAAGGCCACTTTGAGCAATATTTTAGTTATTTCACTGCCTGTCAGATTGAAGTGAGGGGAAACACCCAAGTGATGCATGTGTATGGCGCTGGGATTCGAACCCACGATGATAGTTTTCTGCTACGCCTCGGAGACGCAACTAAAACGACCTGGCCAGAAACCAGAATTTAAAAAATGCAAAGCTTTTTTTTCTTGCTGTGATAACACGTTTGGTTTAAAAAAAAATCCAGACAACGACAAGAAAATGATACGAAATAATTTTTAAAGCATCAATGAAAGATATGTTTTAATTTTGTGTAGAGCAACGCACATTGCCATTGCTACTTTGATTTTAGAACCACTGAGGCTAACAAAAGATCATGGGAGTTTGAAAAGGCGTATATCCATTTCTGCGCATGCGTAGATTTATTCGCGTACTACACGTGCGCACGGTTAATCGAAAAGGGAGACAACGTGACATTATCAATATGTCGCAATGTTGCGTTGTCATCCATAAATTTTAATGTCCCGTTTACACATTTTTGATTATGTGACATAGCAATAACCTAACATATTTCGACCTGAAAAAATGTTGCCTTGTCGCCCTTTGGCAAAGCAATAAATATATTATTCAAAGCGCGACAATGGGATAAATTGTCAAAGTGTAGTGTTGTCGCATTGTCGCATTCTCATGCTTAGGTCAATTTTTGACAGTGTTTGCTTATTTCTTTAAGAGTGACAATGTGACAAGTCGATAAAGCGACAATGACCTTTCTAGGATTCCACAGAAAAAAATCTTTTCACATTGTTGCACACGCCTTCTTTGTTCTGAACATATTCTGTTGAAACTAGAAGAGTATTTGGAAGTGCCTGAAAAAGCAGTCCCCCATCACCGCCATTTCCAGAAGTCGACCTTGACAGTACTAAGGAACCTGAAGGCGTGTATGTTGTAATGACATCATTGTAAGTCATATGACATCACTTCCGGTTAGGGAATATTCAAGAGAATAACCAGTCAAATGAGCGTTAAGCGCAAAATGGTTGTGAAAATATGAGGACATAGAAACTAACAAAAGTTTGATGCCTCTAGCTACCTCAATAAGAAAGTTGTATGCACTTTCGAAGCTTGAACTTCATTCAAAGGTAGCGCACAACCTTGCCACTCAAATGCCCCACCCCAAAGATGATATATACAAACCTTCCTCCTACTGTAGTAAACACTGCTTGCGTCATTGTGAACAAAGTGCATTTTTGACTGTATGACATTGAGGGCCAATTTGACCTTCATTATCGTCTCAAAATGTTCAAGACGACTCCATGGGACGATCCAGATTGCATATTAACAACACGTGTTGGTCCTTAATAGAATTCAATGTGGCAACAAAAGTCCAGAGTGTGCTGCTAAATGAAAGTAGGTCGCTGTCACCTGTCACCACTTGTCATGCGTGTGTTTTCAAATAACATAACAAGTACATGCATAACACTTAAATAAATATCAGCCTAAGTTAAATTGGCAAACACAGATTACGAATGCCCTTCACGGTGAACTTGACCTTGTATACGAGTGTCACTCACAACTATTTTCGTTTTAACTGAACAAACTTTTGTCAGGCTACGATCTGAAGATTAACCATTGGCATGACATATCAAGTGTACAAGACACATATTCCCATATAATTGAGAAATGAAAGATATGACATGTCCAGATGTCCAAACACCCAGTGATCAAATTCAGGGAAAACTTAACACGGGGCTGCATAATCGTACACAAGATACTGTCTATTTGCTAAATGTAAAGAATTGTTCTTAGTTTTCTGAAAAAGGAAATAGTAAAATATAAATACAATAACAACCTGTCTTAGCGAGATGTTAAACAACCACCTAACCATAATTATTCGTGAATCTTCGTTTCTATGATAAAATTAAAACAGTAAAGTATTCAACTGAATCATCTCCATTGAAATATGAAGTCTGCAATTGTGGATATGGTAGCTTGGATTTGAGAGATTCTCTTGACTCGAAACTGTACTGGCAGCCGAAACACGTTTGAATATCTCCCGCCATATTCCTAGTGGGTCACTGGTCCTCATTACAATAACGAAAGTAGACGACTGACTTCCGTGTTGTAAACAGTATGTAGGTATACAGGTGACACACTGGAGATTGTGATGACTATGGTTTAAACCAGTACAGGATATAAATACACACACATTGTTGACAACACATACATATAATTATCGATTAACGTTGATACGTCATGATCTGTATATGAATGAATACAACAAACAATACACGACTTTGTTGTGATCTTGGATCCTCGTTTTTTTATCCTCGTTTTTTTAATGTACACCCATCCAGTAATTAAAACTAACCATGTTTTTTTCAATATTAAGTGCTGTCGTTTTTAACATGATGACTTATGCTGAAAGTGACCACACATATTTTGAAGCAAGTGACATCTGGCACGGAATTGGTGTGTAGTAATGTTCTATAAATTCCTAGACACGTGTGGCTAAGTCAAATAGATCATTGAGTGTGTAATGATGTTCTATAAATGTAAGGAGACGGGTGCCAAAGCGAAATAGATCCATGGGTGTGTAGTAATGTTCTATAAATGTCTGGACATGGGTGGCCCAGTGAAATAGATCTATGAGTGTGTAGTTAATAAATGCATGGAGACGGTAGGCCCAGTGAAATAGATCTATGGGTGTGTACCTATGTTCTAGAAATGGTTGACAACTGCTTAGCCAAATGTTGCAACTGCTTAGCCAAATGTAACAACTGCTCAGCTGCTGACACACTGAATACCTAGCACCAGCCATGAAAACACGAGGCAAATAGACACGCAACATTACCTTGCTGGTGCTGAGACACTGGTAACGTAGTCCTCCGAGAACTGTGTGAATATCTCGTGTTGAAGGTGGGCGCAATAACACCTGTGTGTGATCCTCCCGAGTTGGGTGGCAAACTGTGGACTAGGTGCAATGTCCACGACTTGTCTATGTACGTCGTCAGTCATTGGTTATCTCGGGTCAGCAGTTTGTTTAAGATATGCATCACATGCAGTTTACAATTAAGTAGGCCAGATGACATATGTACACAGCATGTACAACACGTCACACTCTCATCACAACCAGACTCAATACTTGGCTACCACGACGATTCTAACCTGAAACTTATTTAAAGCTGGAACATGTTGGTTATTATGATAGTTTCCTGTCCATCCCGTGGTAACATGTTAAGGCACTGAGAACCTGTGAGGCTACTCGTATACATACAAGGGCGGATCCAGCATATTCAAAAGGGAGGATTCCAAATATAAAATGCCCTCTCAGATTACTGTACTGCCTACAGTGAGTGAGTGAGTGAGTATGGTTTTACGCCGCTTTTAGCAATATTCCAACAATATCACGGCGGTGGACACCAGAAATGGGCTTCACACATTGTACCCATGTTGGGAATCGAACCCGCGTCTTCGGTATGACGAGCGAACACTTTAACCACTAGGCTACCCGACAGCCCCTGTACTGCCTAAAACATACTACATTTGGGTCTTCAAAAGGAGGGGGTCAGGAACGCCTCCTGCCCCCCCCCCCCCCCCCCCCCCCCTGGATCCACCTATGTACATGGAACGTAGTTTAAAACTGGTTTGTTCAATAGTGGTTCGTGAAAGCTCGTGGTTAGTCTTCATAGCTCTCTGTTCTTGTTGGTTGTGTCTAAGAATGAAATGGATGGCTTAAAGGGGATGTTTAGATTCCTATTGAAGAGCATATGTAACAGCCATATGTGACCAGAGAGGATATTAGTCCTTTAGTGTTTCATCAATCATACTTCATCCATATATTCTTGTAAGGCAGTATTGAAGAGCGGGTGGTTTATTCTGTAACAGTTATGACCACGTTAATACAGGTTAATTTGAGAGTGAAAGTGATGCAGGTCAGAGACGTCAATGCCCTAAATCCCACAGGCATGTTTACGGTGCTACCATAGATCTAAATCAGGGATAATTGTGGACACACGTTCGGTGGATCCTTATACGACTAAGGGGTACAACTCTGTACCCGAATTCCGGCGCATCAGACGACATGGCGAAGCGTTCCATCATTATGAGAGAGTCGTCACGGAGAGTCGTTTAAATACCACTTTGGTGAAACCAAAGAACAGGGGCACGGAGCTTACACACCAAGAGACCTATTCTGAGTGTACCGGATTCAAACCAACGATCACAGGTTTGTGGCTTCCCCGAGGGACGCATCTCTGCGTAATGAATTGCGCCGCCAAGGCGCACTTACCCAAAACGGCCACGTGCAGTTTATGCGCACGTGCACAGTACAGTCTCTCGATGAAGCAGCGCATAAAATGACGCCAAGACAAATGTGTATACTAGTATTTCAACAACTGACACTTCTTTCAAGTAGTATGTTACATAACATATATCACAGGCAACACACGCAGCAGCTTTACTGGTATTCCAGGAGCATTGGGTCGCCTCGGTGGCCGAGAGGATAGAACGTCTGTCCAGAGACTGGAAGGTCGGTGGAAGGTCCAAGGTCGTGTCATACCGTTTGTTTGTTGTTTAACGCCGCAATGTTTCAGCTATATGACTGCGGTCCGTAAATAATGGGACCAGACAATCCAGTGATTTACATGCATCAACCAAGTCACCGAACTTGTCTACCCAAACTAAAATGAAAATACAGAAAACTATTTCCACCGCGCTGAAAACTATTTCTGTATTTTCATTAAATAAGTATCGGCATTAGTTAAATTGGCAAACACAGATTACGAATGCCCTTCACGGTGAACTTGACCTTGTATACGAGGGTCACGTTCTCAATTGAACATGACCTTGAGGAAGACTTTAACCCTTGACTTGACATATCAAGTGTACAAGAAACATACTGCCATATGATTGAGAAATAGAGATTTCTACACGAGTGTCTGTCAGATACTATTGATCTTACAACGAGTTGTTTCAAAACGTATCTAACGAGCGAAAGCGAGTTAGATACGCTTTGTAACAACGAGTTGTAAGATCAATGGTTTCTGACAGACACGAGTGCAGTAATCTGTTTCTTACACACCCTAAAATCGCACCTTTTTAGCATCGAACCGATGATATTTGTCTATTCTCATGATTGCAGTAGCGCATTTATACATGTAACACCACTGTCATAAGTGACGTCATCCTATGTGCTGCTTACACGCTGGGTGCCAAGTTGAAAGGTTACACCTCAAAGAAATTACCAAATATGTACAACAATGTTTACTTCCGTATGACATCACTACCGGTGACCGACTTTTACGAAAAGGCATGTTCACTGACAACACTACGCGGGATTTCCAGAGGAGGTTTTTGTTGATTAAGGGATCGTATACACATAAATGTGTCACGTAAGTAATCAGAAACATTCTGACAATCTGCGTACTGTTATTTGTTTACCATGTTTTCCAATGTAACAAAGAGAATTAGTCAGAAATGCAGATAACTAGGCCTACCGTCATCGTTGTGCGTGATTTAGCGTCAGTCATGGCGTCACACAGAACGGAAACTTTTACGGCTTCTGTTGAATTTACCACATCATTGTAATGTAAATATGTGTAATTCCATAATTAGTGCAACGATACTCTTCCCATGAATATTCTCAAACGTGTGATCGAGCCAATGTATGCAACAATTAGACGGAAGTACCTCTTTAAATGCTACAGTGTCAAATCTGAATTTTGCTTTGTTTACATTTCAGCAAGTACAATTTTCCGAGCACAGTTTTCGTGTCCATACCTAATTTATTTAGCATGATTTCATCTAGGTATTTGACATTGGTGATTAAGACCATTTATCCATTGTTTCGAAAATGTATGAGGAATTCAGGGATGCATGTATAGCAGCTGAGTTTGAAATATACCTGATCGAATATAGGCGTCACATAATCGGCATTTTGTAAACACAATCCAATATGGCGGAACGTACACTTCGGCGTTCGTGTGTGCATATTTGCAGAAACATTCTAAACGATTCTAGGCTTATCAGCGACGTTTCAGAGTTAGCATTAGTGATGTGATAGCCGTGATCACTAATATGGTATTTTTCTACTTTAATTATTCGAGTATATATCCAATATTTTGATTTCTAAACACATAATAAATATTTATATAACGCCGTGAATTGTGATTTGGCGAGATTTACAATGTACCTAACTTTCAGTCACTTTCAGTAATTTTGAATTGCCTAAAATGACAGTAAATGATAAACAGAAGGGGGAATTCAAAACTGTGAAGTGTCTGCATGATGTATTTTGAATTTTATTCGATTTTGAAGTGAGGGTTGACGAGAAGGGACATATGTGTCGCTGTGGCATCCACGGGGTTTACACTCTGAAAAACGATAATGTTGACATAACAACAGATAATGTAACTGATAATAATAACAAACAAACTCGTAGACGAGGACGAGTTTGTTTATTTTTATTATTAATTACACGGTCCTGTTCACTCTCCTACCCAGAGTTCCTTGCGGCCAGCAGCCAGCCAGCATAATACCTCTGCCACAGGCCGGCGCCATGTGACGATTCGTCACATCTTTCACAGTCCTTTCAAGATATTGCATATGTTTTTCATCCGTTTCATGTTTGACAAGTCTACACATTTTCATAAACAAATGTCAAAGAATGGTTACGGTTCATTAAGAAAGTATCCTTATACGTGAACGTCTATTTGTTTTTGCGTAGTTATCCTTTGTTTACATTGGTTGTATCCACGTGCTGTCATCGAAGCCCAACGGAGAGCTAGCGATACGGTCACTTTGATGTATAAATATATATTGTCATCCAACTCACTGTCGCAGTTGTAGTAGCATATATATATAATTATGCAAAACAATATGTAAAGCGCCCCCAACTACTTGCATTGTCCGATTTATACTGATTTCTGAAAAAGCGCGTTTGTTTACAAACCAGAGAAAAGTCCAGTCACGTGATATGCAAATTAGCCTGTGGCAGTGGTGTTATGCTGAGTCACCACTGCACCGGAGCGTGGGTCCTGTTGTTCAATACAGACGTAGGTGAACATTCGACTGAAGCACGAGCAACTTATGAATGACTTACACTCAGGAAAGTAGTCCGTCATCATCTGACCCCAGGTCATCACCATGGAGTAGCCAATCACGGGCCTGGAATTCGATCTCACACATATGTTTGATACCAGTTATCTCAAATGGGTTGCTCACCCACAGGTGTGTAAGAAATGAAAGATATGAGATATTTCAGATGTCCATGCACCCAGTGATCAAATTCAGAAACAACTTACACATGGCTGCTTAATAATACACCAGATATTGTCTATTTGCTAAATGTAAAGAATTATTCTTAGTTTTCTGAAAAGGGAAACAGTAAAATAAAAATACAATAACAACCTGTCTTAGCGGCTTGTTCGACAACCACCTAACAATAATTATCATGAATCTTCGTTTCTATGATAAAATTAAAACAGTAAAGTATTCAACTGAAACATCTCCATTGAAATGTTAAGCCTGCAATTGTGGATATAGTAGCTTGGATTTGAGACATTCTCTTGACTCGTAACTGTACTGGGAGCCGAAACACGTTTGAATATCATTCAGCATTCACTGTATAATGATATAAACTGTCTTACCACAGCGTTGATGGACAGCCTCCAATTTCCATGTGGGTGGGTGTAACACACTTGCAGTGTATAGGAAAAGTTAATACCCATGACAGAATATCCCCCAAGTTTACGGTAGGTTCCACTAACAAAATCAGAATCAGTCGACCAGCAGTGTTCGTAGAGAGCATTCAGTGCAGATTAACCAATCTGGCATTTGTGATTGGATGATTCTATGTAAATCTTTTATGTTTTTTTAATGTACTCCCATCCAGTAATTAAAACTAACCATATTAAGTGCTGTCATTTTAACATAATTACTTATGCTGAATGTGACCACAGATATTTTCAAGCAAGTGACATTTGGCGCGGAACTGGTGTGTAGTAATATTCTATAAATTCCTAGATACGTCTGACACAGTGAAATAGATCCATGTGTGAGTAGTAATGTTCTATAAATCTCTGGACATGAGTGGCCCAGTGAATTAAGTCCATGTGTGTGTGGTTATGTTGTATAAATGTATGGAGACGGTAGGCCCAGTGAAATAGATCTGTGGGTCTGTATTTACGTTCTAGGAATGATTGGACACGAGTGGCCAAGTGAAATCAATCCTTGGGTACATATCAAATGGTCGGTTCTTAAACAGCTTTTCTTCAAGTCTCCACAGATTCCTCCCCAGATTATGGTGCCACTGCCTCCAAATGGCTGAACGTCTTGGACACAGT